ACATGAATATAAGATTACACACTATATTGGTTACATACATGATCATCCAATCAGTGACCAGAAACAATACCTAATCACTACTGTAACTAAAAACACAGCATGAATTTTGAACTATATATTCAGTTGTAACATTTGCAGTTCCTGCTGTGTAGGCTAGCTACCTAAATCATCCAATCAGAAAACAGAAACAGTAGCATGGGACTTAGCTAATAAGACTACAGTGCAATTTTGGAATTGCAAATTATCACAATGAACTGTCAGCAAACAATCTCTATAGACTAAATTATTAACTGAAGAAATTTGTGATCTGTTCACTGACAATTCATGAAAAAAGTAAAAAGGAGAAATTCACCAGATAATTAATTCTCATTGTAACCCTTCTGCTAGTTGGAGTTGGCAGCAACAAGGGACAGGTTCAATATCTAGAGGTTTCTTTTCAACAATACACACAAAATTGGCTCAAGCCACAGTCCTGTAACCTGGGGCAATTACATACTGCCTCCCCTCCCTCCTGGTGCCTCTAAGACTGTAGAAAAAAATCCTTTTAATAAAAGGAGGGAGGTAATCTGGCATTAATTTGGGAAAACGCCACTAGCAGGATTCATAAACATGAAACCATGAGCTAAAGACCCGACCCAGAGTATGTTGGGCAGTGTCCTTTTGCTTCAGGTTCTTAAGTCCAGCAACCAAAAGTTCCTTTAACATGCCCCTCCCATCTCCCTCCAGTGCATCCCACTCACAGTTGTTGTCCTTGGTCAGTGAAGACCCAGAGTTTAGAGGTGCATCTATGCATCTTGCTCTGCTGTCCAGGCACTTGCTCTGGCATCAGCTGCCCTCTGTTCCACTGGCCGCTCTTCCCTCCACTCTGCCAGCTGCTCACCACTCTCCTGGTTGCTCTGCCCCTTCTGGGATGTCTTGAGGTCCCACCACTTAACACAGCTTTCAGAGATTTGAGCTGTTAGTGGGGGAGCCTCACTACTAGTGCAGACTGGGCAGCCTCTTGCATCAGAGACACTGTCCCAAAGCAGGCCTAATGCTTAGGCTTTGTTATCAGTGATTTCAGCTTTATTGGTGTGCAACAAGACTCTCAATTGAGTCTTAATCAGCTCTGTTATACACAATAGAGAGAGGAAGGGCCAAATGGTGTCTAGGACCCTTAGGTACAGCCCACACTACCAGGTACAAGTACCTGTGCCCACCCTCTCTCAACTCCACTGGGCTTTGGCACCCACGTTCCCTGCCTAGGGAGTACAGTTTAGTTGAGGGTGAGTCCCTCAGTCAGGGTATGCCAAGGACAGTTCTGCTGCCCTTGATTCACACAACAAGGACAACAACCTTTTATTACTCCTATCCCAATAACAAAGAAACTTGTGATCCAACACCAACCAAAAGTGATCATTTTGGCAAAGCAGTCCCATCATGCTGAGCACATAGGCTGGGTGAGTGTGCCCATGCAAAGGTGGTCAGCTCCTGAAGTCCTCTTCCCCAGCTCATCACTAGATGTCAGGGGAGAGCTCATTCAGACCCTGCTTATAGTTATAGTTATGGGGATAGACCTGAACAAAAACCCCATATCAGAAAATCCTGTGCTTTGGGAAAGTTCTGATATGGATCCCAACTCTTCCTTTAACCTCTTCTTTTCCCTACAGGAAATAGTCATGTCTCCTTGAGAGCTACTCAACTGATTTAGGGGACAGAGTTAGTAAAATAAGACTATCTAGCTGAGAAAAGATATTTACATTTACTTACTCCAGTGCAGGAAATACAAAATGTCAACATTGTTGTATTAATTTACATGGAATATGAGGGCACAACGAGTCTACGGACAACATAACCCAGTCACTGTCCAACATAAAACAGCTTTAAACAAGGCTCAGAGTTTGGTATACAGAGACCTCAGCCTCCTTAATATCATGGCAAACACACTACTAAAAATCCTTTTAATCTTTTATTAAAGATACAGAAAAGAAGGGGAACAGTTTAAAGCAATTAAAATGTAAAGTATTAAATAAATATTATAAACATTATTTAATAATAAAATATTTTTAATAACAACCCTTGTTACCCTTTTCTTTAGCTATAGAGAGCTTTTAAAAGAGAAAAAAAAAACTTGTTTGACAGACTCTAAGGGCATGTCTAAACTGCCCCACAGTTCGGACTACAGGGGTGTGAATAACAGCGTGAACCCAAGTGCTCTGCAGTAACTCCCCCATGTAGATGCTGTGGGTGGGAACTTGAAGGTCCCTAGTTTGCGCTAATGTAGTCTTACTAGATACCTTTAAGTTCACGCCTGCAGCATCCACATGGGGAAGTTAAGCACAGCACTTCGGTGTGCATTGTTATTCACACACCATAGTCAGAAGTGACGGGCAGTATAGACATGCTCTTAAACACCCTTTCTGGGGAAAAGAGAAGAAATTAGTTGAGATGGGCTAGAGCTATTGTTATTACTCCTGTTGTTAAAGTCCAATCCCATTTCCTAAGCAGACAAAAAAAGAAAGAAAATCCACTTCTGTATCTCTGCTGACTTTCACTTGCAACCTCACTGCTGGAAAAATACATTCCCAGCACGTGGTCTTATCAGCCACTCTGAGACCTGGCATACTTGTACCAGCATTGGGCTGTTTAGGACATTGTATTTAGCTGCCTCTCTGGTCACAGGCTTATAGCAGGGTTATAAAATATACAGACTTAGCTAGTGCAGCCAGAGTTTTATTAAACAGAAGGTAAAGGGAGAGAGATGGGATGAAAAGAAATAAGGTAGAGATGGAAAAGGACACATGAGGGGAGAGGGACTGACAAGGTCCCACATTCCTGGTGATGGTTAGGAATTAGCTGGAGTAGGTGGCGATGTTATCTCAGTCCCTCTCTGGCTCAGTCTGAACAGGATATCTCTCAGGTTTAGGACAAAGAGGGTCCAGCATCCTAGGAGATGGTAGGGGTGGCAGCCATGATGATAAAACTTGCTGCAGCATTTGTTGGCAGACAGCTACTTCTACTCATTTTTCCCAAAAGTCTTTTCTAAGAACCTCAGAATGGACTGTTGGCCAGTCCATCCTCTCATTATTTTGTCCACCAATAGGCCAAATTTCCAACACACAATTTTGGTTCACTGATTTCTGGTCTTTTACTCCTCTTGTTTACCAGTCATAATCTTAATACAGTCCTTGAGTGGTATTAGTAAAACCCTTTCTGTTTAAATTAATTTGGTCTCCTTCTTGCATCTTTTCTTAAACCATGTCATATAACAGGTCATTGTAACAATTTATGACCTTTCATTCACGTTTCCCAGTTGAACTTACAATTAGGGTACATTTGTAGGCCCAATTATCACAAGAACATCCTGTTAAAAAAACTAGCTTCTGAGTTCACAGTGCTTCTCTTCAGCAGCATTTCCACTCTCTGCATATCCCATAGGATTGCATGGGATTTTTCTGAAGGATTTCCCTTTTGTGTCCTTAAGTCCCACCATCACTCAGAATGACAATGAAAATTTGGAGAAAGAGGGGGAGGGGAAAAGAATGAAAGAACATCTATATATATAACTCATACCCACTCAGTGTGCTGCTCTGTCCCATCTATTGGTGGCTGGACCACATAGAGAAGCTGATAAACCTACTACTGCCTTGGCTAGCAGGGTTAAGTCTTTTAGCTCAGGCCATGCCTTAAGATCCAGAGGTCCCAGGGATCTTAGGGACAGATATTACTTGAAAGATTAATAACTAATGTTTCCTTCTGGCCCGCAAAACATTAGAAAAGCTATCTACCACTGTTCATCCCACAATAGGCTCCACCTTTGAAGACAATAAGAAAATGGTTCACAACATGTAAAACACTTTGTCTAATGGCCCACTGATCAGCAGAGCTCAGGCATTCCTCTCCCCATTTATAGAAGCTAAATAGCTAAATGAGGGTATTAGAGAGACAAGGTTGGCGAGGTAATGTATATATTTTTGGACCAGTTTCTGTTGGTAAGAGAGACAAGCTTTTAACCTTAAACAGAGCTCTTCTTCAGGGTATTGTTAATCACCTAGGCAAGAATCTCTCAGAATTTGCTTCACAGGTGCTGGCTTCTTCCTCGCCCCGGGGGTGCTTAACCCCTGTTCTGCCCCAGACCCCACCCCCACATCACCCCTGCCCCCAACCCCCCCACCTCTTCCCACACTGCTCCACCCCTGCCCCGCCCTGGAGCACACCCCATCCCCGCTCCTCCCTCTTCCTCCCAGCGCCTCCTGCATGCTGTGGAACAGCTGATCACGGGAGGCACTGAGGGAGGGGGGGGGAGGTGGCTGCCAGTGGGTGCTAAGCACCCCCTAATTTTTTTCCATGGGTACTCCACCTCTGAAGAGCTCCAAGAAATCCAAGCCATTTATTTTCACCCCACATTATAACCTATACATTGTTTCCTCGTCAATCAAATATACCAATCTGTCTTTCATCCCAAATTGGAATCTGCACATTTGTTTGCCTTGTGAGTCAGATCTATATCCTTCTATATGTGGGAAATATCTTTTGTTCAATTGTAAGGCCTAAATAATGTGAAATGCTTATGTATAATCAAAGCATGTAGGGAATATGTCCTCCAAATTTAGAAGAATAGACGGGTTTTGTTGATTTTCATTGTAAACAACTGTTGAACTCTCAAGTAATAGGGACTGTCTGGCACAAAGAAGGAGAAATGTTAAAAGATATAAACCTTTGGGATATTAATAGAAATTGCTTAAAAGGGGGGATCCTAACTGATAGCTGGGGCTAATAACGAAATATAGTCCTTGAAATTAATCAAACTTAAAAAGCCGCCGATAAGTGAAGGATTAAAGAAATTTGTTATACACCAGTGCCATCTACTGGATACCAATGGAAGCATCAGAGAAACTAAGCTGAAATCTGAGCATTTGCCAGGCACTATCCAGTAGGAATCAGAGGGTGGTTCCCCTCCAATAAGCCCTGATACTAGAGCATATAAAAACTGAGGTCACTGTGTGCTCTGCAGAGATGCCTGAACCTAACACAAGAAGCTGCAGAACTCTAAGTGCATCCGACACCTGGACCAGCAGTGTGGAAAGGACTCTCCCCCGTTCCAGGGTTAAGAGGATAAGTAGTAATGGTGAGACTTCATTTCGCAGATTGTATTTCTCTTTCTATTCATTAATATAAATAGCAGTAGGTTATCTTCCTGAGTATACATTCTCTAGAGGTACCTCAAGTAACCATAGTTTAGATTTTAACTCCTTTATGAATCCAATCAAATTGTCCTAAGAGACTGAAAATAATTGTTTTAAGCAATTGCTTTAACATTCCAAACTTGTCACTTTTGGACCAATCTGGTGAAAGAGAAGCAACCACATTCTTCAGAATGCCTTAAAGACAAGTGCACCCTTGAAAGTGTGATACATGTGCTAGGTACTAAAGCATGAGAATTGCTGATCATAAGTAAATGTAATAAGAAATGTTAGTAATTTGCATTGTTCTTTGATACAATTACTGAACCTCAATTCTAGTCTGCGTGATAATTGCATGCAGGACTGTATTGTGTGTGTAGTACACACTATTAGTTGTGTCTACATCTGAGTGGTGAAATGCTGACTATATATTAATGTGATTCTGTGCAAATTAATACATTGTTGGCTGGTGAAGAATAAGCGAGTGTCCTGATGTGAGAAATACTGTTCAAGTTAAAAGTTGACCTGAAAAGAACCCAGCATTAAACTAGTAAGCTAATGCCCCTGGACTCAATGAAAAGAGGTTATCCTAATGGATTCTTTATATATTGGCAATTCTAGTTTGTTAGATGTCAGCTTTAAAAACTAACGGGCATCCTGGCAAATGTATAAGTTGACCCCCTTTCACACCCATCCAGGGCCACTGCATAACATATGTAGAAAAGGATCCAAAATTGGTCCAACATGGAGAAAGGTGACTTTATTACCTGGGGGGGAGGGATAGCCTGCTAAACCCAGCGTTGTGAGTTCAATCCTTGAGGGGACCATTTAGGGATCTGGGGCAAAAAAATTGGGGATTGGTCCTGCTTTGAGCAGGGGGTTGGACTAGATGACCTTCTGAGGTCCCTTCCAACCCTGATATTCTATTATTAAGAACTGCCTTTTCCACCTGTTTCTATTCTGCTATGTCACACATTATCCTTCTCTCTCATCTGTAGTTGTCAATCCTTCCACAAAATTTCTACAGGTTTTAATAGAAAAATCACACCACGTCTGCAGGGATTTTCCTGCCACCCTCCAGTCATCCTATACTAAATTCTATAGAATGGTTAATATCTACCTGTAAAAGACATAACTTTCTCTATTATTTTACATAGTTCTTTGAGATAAACCCTACTGGTTTCATCCCTGTTCATTTCTGTAGGATTTTTCCAGTAGGAAATTCAAAAACAAAGTAATCGGAAGAATGCTTATGGCCATAAACAAATGACTGTAGTGGCCAAGAAAGCTTTCACGCACCCACCTAAAAACAGGTTGTATGAGTGTGTCATGAGGTTTCAGAATTTCTTTTATTTGTAGGGTAGAAAATTGGACGTATACATTTGGTTGAATCCTCTCCTCCAAAAAAAACAATTCTAAAAAACCCTGTGAGGTGGGGGGGGGGGTTTACACTTTTTCTAAAGGCAAAATTCTAAATTAAATTTCTCTTAGTGAAAATTTTTATCTAAAAACATTGTTTAGAATTTGAGGTTTCCCCCCATTCCGCAAGAAAGGAGGGGAAAAGTTGAAAGAGAGAGAGAGAGAAATGGGATTTTCCCCCTCTCCCGCCCCCTTCACCATTTTGAATGAAGTTTTTCATTTGACAGTTCAATGACAATGAAGGTTTTCGTTGGAAAAAAATGATTGTTGTCAAAACTGTTTTTCTACGGAAAAAGTGTGTCAAAGAAAATTTCAACCAGCTCTCGCTGCTAGTTTTTTAACTTCCTCTGAGGCATCAGGATTGGGCCACTGCTGACAGCAGGATACAGAACTTCAATAGTCTGATCTGCTATAGTAAATCTGATGCTCCAATGAACACCTTGGTGCATAACAAAGCTCACCCTTCTATTAACTAGCTGCACACACCTCATTCATGAGCCTTAAATCAAAACCAGTCAGAAAGTGGCTACCTTCTCCCATGCTCTTGAAGGAGGGAATATTGCCTCCCTGACACCCTTAGAGAACCACTAAACAATCAGCAAAGGAGATTTCAGAATAATGTTTCTCCTTGTCCCCTAAAGCTATGCAAATGATCTTTTTTATAACACTTTTCAATCTAATTGACATTTGTAATAAAATTCTGCCTGTACTGATCAATGTTACCTTAGAGTCATCTCACACTATCCCTTTACATGGTGTCCTTCAGTTCAGACGTCTACAAGGCTGTGGAGTTTATAAGAATCTACTAAAATTACTTGTTGTTCTATAGACTGTATTACACAATCCAGGGAAATGGTTAATGAGACAATAGATTCCATTTATTGTGTAACCACATTCAGAAGCTCAATGCGCCTTGATCCAAACTTTATCACGCTTAGAAATAGAATAAATCTGTTCCCCTGCTGTACCTTAAACAGTATTTTCATCTGGCTTTATTTGGGGGACTCTGCCTGGAGTCCTCACACTATATTACCCATCAAAATAACAACATGAAGTACTGAAACACACATCAATAGTGAGTGGGTTGTACTAAGCAAATTGAATATCAGTCACATCAAAATACCTACATCCTCGTTTGAAAACGTGTATTAATAGTCCGTGCAAAATAGACCATCATCAAATCCCTTTTCAAGAACATTGGTGCAATGTTCTAAATGGAAAAATCTAAATTTTTCAGCCTACAGAAAACCCTTCAATCATCAAAAATAAACTGCATTGGAAGGGACCTAACACATGAACACATAAGTTGCCTGGAAACTGGTATATTACTTTCCCCTCCCCACACAAAACGGAAACATAATATGTACATCACAAGAGTTTCACACACCACCCTTCTCAACCTGCATAATCTATTCCTACTAAGCGTGGGACTCAGGCTTGGTCGGGGGGGGGGAGAGAAGGGGATCGACCTAAGATACGCAACTTCAGCTACGAGAATAGCGTAGCTGAAGTCGATGTATCTTAGGTTGACTTACCTCGCATCCTCACGGCGCGGGGTCAACTGCCGCCGCTTCCCCGTCAACTCCACTTCTGCCTCTCACCGCGGTGGAGTACAGGAGTCAACGGCAGAGCAATCGGGGATCGATTTATCGCGTTTAGACTAGACGCGATAAATTGATCCCTGATATATCGATCACTACCCGCTGATCTGGCAGGTAGTGTAGACGTACCCTATGAAGCCATTAGTAGGTCACTGAGCATACTTAACCCATGGAGCTGATTAAAAAACAACAGGTTTTTCCACATGACTTTTTTAAAATAATTTTTTAACAAAAAATCAATTTTTAATGAAAAAACAAAAAATGAAGGAAAAAAGGTGGGGTGGAATTTTCTGGAAAAGTGAATTCAATGGGCTTGTCTACACTGCAATTCAAGCCCAAGCTGAGTGAGATTCAAGTCAGCTGAACCTGGGTTAGAGAACCCAGAGTTTGAGCATCTACACTATTGTTAACCCTAGGTTAAGAATTTTCTAACCTAGGTTCAGACTTTGGGCTCTGGCATCCACACTGCCGCATGCAGACTGGAGTCAAACCAACTCCCTAGCGCCCACCCAAAGAGGCCACTCTAGCCTTTGACCATGGTCCACTGTGGGAACACTAGACAGTCCACCCTGCATATTACAGGAAGTTTGTACAGCCCACCAAGGTGTAATTTAGGTCAATGCATGCCCAGCTACCCAAGCCAGCAACATGGCGGAGGCCCTTTTTGAAGAATTTCTCTTGCTTGTGCTTTCATCCATGTCAGGAAAAAGGCAGAGCTTCAATGAGGTGCTGGTGGACATTTTGACAGCATTCTCTGACCCACCGAAGGCACCTGACAAAACTTTGACTGGAGCAGGAGGAGGAGGAAGAGGAAGAGTACCCAGGCATGGCAGGCTTGAACTGGATGATGCTTCTCAGTACAAGTGGTGCAGCCGCTGATGTCCCCCTGTGAAGACCAGCACTTCTGGAACAGGCCCACAAGCACAGACTGGTGGGATCGCATTGTCATGCAGGCCTGGGATGGCTGCACTTGAGTCCAGAAGTTTAGCATGAAAAAAAGCTATGTACTCTCACCACCTGTTCTCCTTTCCCTTCTTTCCCCATTTGTCACACACATGGTGCTGTGGGAGGGAGGTGGAGACATCCGACGGGGGGGGGGGGGAGGGGGAGTGTCAATATGAAGGACTGTATGGGGCAAGTGTAACCCACGCACCTTCTGGGTGTGGTGTTTCTGTCCCATCTAGTGACACCGAGCCCACTTACAGAGAGAGTTTAATGAGTCTGCTCTACAGCCTTAGCTAACAGCCACATGGCTTTTAGCTAATGCAGTAGAGGCTCATGCACTGAGCTCCAGAGGTCCCAGTTCAATCCTGCCTGCTGAGGTCTGTTGGCGTTACCATGGTGTTATAAGGTTACCCTGCCCCACCACTCATGGGGCCTGATTGCATGGGCCACCCAGGCAGGGAGTCTTCAAAGCTGCTTCTGGCTTCAGCACAGGGTAGTGCACAGGGGACTCAGGCCGTGATGTGGGTGATGCAGCAGGAGCCACTACTCTTATAGTCTTCAGTGATACGAGCCACTCAAATAGCTCTGTCCTCCTCCCATAGCCACAATTCCTGTTCCAGAAACTGCAAACCAAGTGCCTGCTGCTGTGCTGAAACCCTGTCCTCAAGACCCTGTCCTGAGTCTTGCCATGCCTTTCCTCTAGACTTAAATCCCTCTCTCTTTGGTATTGGACCTGCTTGTTGGCCTTGCCCAGCACTTTAAACATAAGTTCATCATGGAAACACTTTCTCTTGCAACAGTCCATGAAAGTACATTGGCCCACACTTCTGCTGCAGTGTGGGCGAGTTGTGGAGGCACTGTAGCAGTAAAGGCTGAGAAGCCTGGAACAGGACAAGACACAGAGGGTCAGTCTCTCAAACAACTCACTGCAGGAGCACAGAAACAATCCTTGTGGACTTTCAAGAACATATAATGATACTTTTACAAACTGAACTTCGGTATATTGTGAGAAGGATGCTTCAGACCACAGAGCTCCCTGGACACAGCTTGGTTAATCACAGCGAAAGGAATGCAGGCACAATGGTTAGTTAAAAATGCAAAGCTGCTTTTTAGGTTTTAGAAAATCATAAAACTACATGAGATTTTTTTTCAAGGGGCAGAGGGAGGAGGAGCTGCTGTCAGCAGCTGTGCTACAAAAGCTTTTTGTATGATTCCAGGCCTTCCACATTTCGGAGGACATAACAGTTCTTGTGGTGCCCTACTGCAAAAGGAGACGTTATTCCAACCTGCTGGTGGGAAACCTGCAGTTTATGCAACAGAAGTATTCATATATAGGGACTGAATAACACATCTATGAGTGGTGTGGGCTGGTCTCCTATTGAGGTGGCCCTGGAAAATATGCTCTTCCCCAAAACATGATATCTATCTGCAGGGGTGAAAGTAAAACACAGGATTTACCGGTACGGGGGCTGGCGCCTCGAGCGGAAGGGGCGGGACCAGGGGTCAGCAGCTGATGGTTTAAAGGGCCCGGGGCTTCGATGACTGTGGCAGCAGTGGCTGGAGCTCCAGGCCCTTTTAAATCACTGGCCCCAGGGCAGCTGCTCCTTTTGCACACACACCCTGCCCCCGTTGGTGACCGGGGGAGAAGGCGGGGGGGCAATGACATTAAAGCACTGCCACGGCAGCTCTTTAAAGTCAGCTGGGTACGGGCCAGTATGGGTGGCCAATTTTTACCAGTACGCCATACAGGCCCATACCGGCTTACTTTCACCCCTGCCTATCTGGAGCTCCTGCTTCAGGAAAAGTTTGCAGCTATCAGCACACAGGATCGGGTCAGAATTCATTCGAGATCAACAGGATGCTGCGTTAAGCTTCCATATGGCTTAGCCTGTCATGGCTGCATGCAGACACACAAAACTCCATAGCCTTCCTCCTCCCCACCCCCAGCACATTTCTGGACAAAATTTCAAACCAGAATCATATTATGGACAAATGATTTTGTCACCTATCGACTGCACAGACTACTCTAACTGAAACAGACTTGTGAATGGAACATATTTCCCCAAACACACACAAACAGAATTCACTGTTTCCAGGCAGCTCAACTGTAGAATGGTTACAGAGCAGAGTACTTACAGGCTTGGCAATGTAAGGTTATTATTTTTAAGAAACTGGAATGGCCCTAGGAAAAATCTGCCTTTCCAGTAAAAATACACTTTAAAGGTGTTCTTTACAGTTTGCATGTCCCGGTCACCTTTTGGAAATCCAAATGGAGGGGTGGGAAGGAAACACACCACTGGCATACAATTCACCATTAGCAGATAAACGCTGCTAGCTGGGGCGTCTCATAACTTTTTCGTTGGTTCATAGAGCGGAAATCCCTCCCATTACTGCATTAATAAACATTAAAATAGAGCCAGACACTTACCGGGTTTAGGGGTGGCTTCTGTCCCATCTGTGTCTGCTGCAGGCTCCGAAGCAGGCCGTTCCTTGCGGGGGTGCATCAGCTCCTCTGAGTATGGATCCAGAATGTGCTGCCACTGCTCCTGCTCCAAAACCTACTCTGGAACCAGTTCCAGCAACAGAGTGACTTCACTGTCCCCACTCAGGGCCTGCTGCTGTCTCCCATCAGTCCCCACACTGGATTCTGGAGCCAGCAGGGCACCATCCCGGTTGACCAGGTCATCATGCACCAGTGTTGGCTCCATGCTGGGCACAGTGCCCAGCATCCAGTTAAACTCCTCCTAAAACAGGCAGAATTTTTGGTGAGTTGACCAAGGTGCAGTTCTGGTCCCTGGTCACTCTTGAGCCGCTTAATCCAATCCCTGCACTGATCACAAGTCCAGTAAATTTGCACTATTTGCTAGTATATGTGATCATTCTTGGTACTCTTACTGAAGTCCACAGCTTTGTTGGCCTTGCAACAGAAATTTATCAGGCTGTCCTCCTGTGACTATGAAGCAGTGAGCTTTGCAAAAGGATTGTTCTGTTCAGTCTCCATTACACACACAGAAGGCTCTCTGTTTGCAGCTCAGTGGTGAGAAGGGTTAATGCTGACTCACTGAACTGTTGCAGTACCCCAAGAGTGGTTGCTTCTTTTTTCAATAGAGTAGATTCAAGATTCTTGGGATACAAAGGAAGTTGGCCCATGGGATTGTAGCATACTTTTTGGAGGACTCCCAGGATCTGAGACTAGCAGGACTGCATCTACACTGCAAAGCAATAGGGCCAAACCCTGGGTCAAGGCTCAACCTTGGCTCAGACTCTGCAGCCATGCAGGGTCCTGGGACCCTGGTTCCCAGGGCCGGCTCTAGGCACCAGCAAAACAAGCTGGTGCTTGGGGCGGCACATTTTTAGGGGCAGCATGGCCGGCGCCAGAATGCCGCCCTTAAAAATGTGCCCCGGCCGCCCTAGCTCACCTCCACTGCTGCTGCCACAGCACGCGAATCAGCCATTTCGCGCGCCGCTGCTCCCCCTCCTCCCAGACTTGAGAGCCTGGGAGGGAGGGGGAGAAGCGGCGCCCACACCGCGGCCACTCGGAGTCTCCCCCTCCCTCCCAGGCTCTCAAACCTGGGAGGGAGGGAGGGGGAAACTCCGAGCGGCCGCGGCGCGGCGCCGCTTCTCCCCCTCCCTCCCTCCCTCCCTCCTAGGCTTGAGAGCCTGGGGGGAGGAAGCAGGGCTGGGGATTTGGGAAAGGGGTGGAGCTGAGGCGGGGCCAGGGGTGGGGTAATTAAATAAGGGGGGGGGCGCGCAAAATTGTTTTTGCTTTGGGCGGCAAAAATCCTAGAGCCGGCCCTGCTGGTTCCAAGCCCTGAATTAGCACAATTTGCTCGTGACGGAAGAGGGAGGGGTGGAGATGGAGTTGAGCCTCAGTCTGAGCCCAGGCTTACATTGCAGTGTAGGCATACCTAATGGGACAACCAGCATGAGTAAGATGTTGCTAGAAGTGGCCCTTATTTGTCCCTACTAGCTCCCACAGATCAGAGTTAACTTTCCGTAATAAAGAAGTTGTGAAAACGTAGGTATAAAAAATGTTGCTAGTTTTCTTTTAGGGTTAAAGGTTTGGTTGGATTTGTTAATTTTCGACTATGTTCTACTACTTTTCTGCTAATACTGCTGCAATGTACCTAACATCACTTCTCAGACTTCAAATTGTTAGTAAAGCATGTTAAGTACAACAATAGAGATATACTGTAAGTAAGTAAAAAGAGCTTATGTGTAAGTAATAGAGCTTAAATTCTTAATTTAAAATACATATATTTATTTACTCACTGAGTAACTGAATTCCAACAAAATGAATTTGTAATACATTCCTGTCTAGTTTTATTAGGATGTGTGCTGTATATGTAATGGAGAAATAAAGAAAATATATTGCAACATCAACACAGATTATTCACACACATAAACTTCTGTGTATCTGTTCAAACTGCAGCAAGACTGCACTGGAAAGCATATTACAACAACCAGAAAAGAGCACTTAACCTTTGAGACAAATCTAAACAATAAATGGCAAAAGGAAAATTGTAAAATATTTTGCTCGCATTTCTCTCATGTCATAAAATATTACCTCTTGTTTAAACAATTATGAGCACTCCCTAGCACCTTGATGCAGAGCACTACACAGAAATTTGGTTAAAATAATGTATTTCTAAAATAATTATACCCATGACTGTTATTGGTAATTTGCAAACCATAACAGTTTTCATCACAGAACCCTCTGCATCAGTGAAGGGGGGTATAGGATTTGCATCATAGAGAATAAAATGCTATATTTAAGCTCTGTGGTCAGTCTTTTCTTTACCCCAACTTACATGCTTGGTGCAAAGCCTATTGAATTCAACAAAAAGATTCTCATTGACTACAGTGAGCTTTGGATCAATGTATATTATTTTTCTCTTATTACAATTGATCAGGGTTTTGCCAGCCATCTGGGTTGTTATTTTTAAAGCAGCTATTGATAGAGTGGATTTATGGCTTGTGAAAGGGGCTAGATTTACAAGCCATGGTGGGAAGGTGTCAGAGTCCCATAACCATGACCTGGAGAGACTCCCATCTGGAGGATTGTTCA